ACAGCTTTAATAATTGTTTGATTGGACCTGACTGTAATATTAAGTGGCCCCCAAGATTGCAATATCTAGCTCCAAGCGATTATTAAAAAAAATCAAAAATCTATTCTGACCACAAATTTTTAGATATTGAAGCATTAAACATGCCAATTATTGAAGGGTGTGCACAAATACCGCCACGCGTTCTGGCTAATGTTGAACGAAAATTTTACAATCTAACGGGATACTGTTCGGGTAACGGGTAGTACAAAATGGCTTATTGTTTGAACATTTGTTATAGTTTTATGTTTAGAAATTACCATTAATTATTTTTAGGGAGGATCACAGTAAAACTATATAAAATTCTTTGAATAATGCCAGAATACAACATTATTGCGATATTTGGTGAACTGAGTACATTTCATCAACTGGATTGCTTTATAAACAATACTATTTTGCTATTTATTGTTCACTAGTAGTAGAAGTATTTGTGAAAATTTGCTGTTTATAATTTAATCATAAAAGAAAAATATTGACTATTCAAATATTGTCAAATACAAATGAAACAACTGCTCCGCTACAAGAAGGTAATCGTGTAATAATTCAGAGCAATATTCAAATCCCTTTTTTACATTCTTTTTACACTAAAATGAAGAGCGAGTATATACAAGTCGAAAAATAGATTTTAAATTTTAATGTTTTCTAAATTAAAATTGGTTAACCTCACAATCTGCTGAGCCATCCAAAATTCCGGTATACAGGGTGTTTCAAAAAGGTATGTCATCAATTAAATCACTCATTCCGGGGACAAAAATAAATTGGTTGAATCCAACTTACCCTAGTACAAAAGTGTACACAAAAAAGTTATAATTGTTTTTTTTTATTATCTCCTAAACTACTTGACATTTTATAATAAAAATTGACACGTTACTTTCTTGTTGTGAAAGCATTTTTCATAAAAAAGAAACAACAAAATCTAAGCGCACAGAAAAATTTTAAGGGGCGTGTGCATCATAAGTTTAACATATTATTTTTAAAACTTTTTTTCCTCTTATCACTTTTTCGTAACTAGTTTTTCCTAGTTGGCCATAAAATTACAATTAGTTTCTATGGATACAATAATAATTACAAACAGTTCCATCAATAATAGTCCATAATTTGAAGCTATCATTTATTGTGTGAATAAGATCAATATTGTGCTGAATATATTTTCTTGTGGCATTTTAAATTTGTCCAAAACCAAACCTTACAATGAACAAGAAAGGACAAAGAATTGCATTTATAAAATACCTTGTGAATGCGATCAGTTTTATTTAGATGAAACATCAAGGCCATTAAATGTTAGAATAAGTGAACATCAATCTTATATTAAAAATAGAGAATTTAATAGATCTTAAATATGTAAACATGCATGGGATAATAAACATAGGGTTCAATGAAATAATTTAAATGTAGTCCTAAAAGAGACGGATGGTAAAAAAAGAAAAATCAAAGAAGCGGCTCTAATTATGCTAAATGAGGCCAATTGTGTCGCAAATTCCTCGGCAGAATATCGTAGAATCTGGTTACCAATATTGAAAGAGGAAGTTATTAATAAGAAAATACCAGTATTAGTAAGTCAGTAGCATATAGAAGATACATCATTTATGTTTTTTAAATAACGAAACATATAAAATCAGAATTTTGGTGTTTATTGAAGGTAAACTAAACGCACGAACAAATACTTACCATGTCGGGATAGTATTATGAGGTTTTTTCCTGGTTTTTCCCTCATAATTTACTATGGAATCACTAACAGGAGAATTTTACTGTCATCATGTCATGTGTTTGTCTTTTTAAAGACGAATTACATGCCATGCTTTTTTTCTGACGGATATTCTCAAGTTAAAGTTGATTTCATGTAATCGAATGAACTATCTTATAAGTAAAGTCGTCCCAGGAGCGCAACTCAACAATATTGGCAATAACAGTTTAAAGTCGTCTACTTTAAAATGCATAATGTATGTCTGAATTGTCAATCTAAATGAGTCAGATAAAATTAAATTATTAGAAGAATTTTTCACTATATAACAAAAAACAAAATTTGTTTAATTTACTGTTTATATTTTGAGAACGATTTTCGAAGTAGAAATTGAAACGTCAATACACGTATTTTTATCTTTAATTGTGGCTTATTCCCAGGTAAATAGTAATTAATAAGATCAATATTAAAAATTTTGATATAACAATGGCCTAGACATTTCAAAAAATGGCAGATATGCATTTAACTTTAGGTAAGTTGGTTCAAATTAAATTATGATTTCAATATCGTAGGTGAATGTCAAAGAAATACTGCAGCAGCCGCAAGGCGTTACGCAGTAAAATATCCCAATCAAAATACACCCGATAAACGATTATTTCTGACACTTGATCGTCGTTTACGGGAAACGGGTACATTCCAACCGTAAGTTGCTGGCAATCGTGGTCGTCCAATAATGGATGCAACTGATGAAGACATTTTAGAAATTCACTTAACAACGGTTCAAGAGTTATTGGTTGAAGATTATCCTAAAAGGATTGGATTTTGCGATTGGTTGTTAATGAAAAACACTCGAAATGTTAATTTTATTAAAAATATTTTGTTTACCGACGAGGCTACCTTCAGTAAAAATGGAATAACAAACCATCATAACGAGCACATTTGGGACGACAAAAATCCTCACGTCAAAAAATTGACTCCAATGAATTGATTGTGATTGAATGATCACCAAAGGACTTTCAAAGTAAATGTTTGGGCAGGAATTGTGGAAACAATCTAATAGGTCCAATATTTCTTCCCAACAATTTAAATGCTGATAATTATTTGCAGTTCTTGGCAAACGATTTACAAGAGTATTTGGAAGAAGTCAATATTGCAATAAGGCAAAATATCTGTTCTGAAGCTATTTTCTTGTGACATTTTAAATTAATTACTATTTAACTGGGATTAAGCCACAATTAAAGGTAAAAATACATTTATTAACGTTTCAATTTCCACTTCGGAAATCGTTCTCAAAATACAAACAGTATAGTTTATAAAAACTTAGTGATAAAAGGCAAAATATGTGGTTTCTATAAGATGGCGCTCCACCGCATTACAGTAATAAAGTCCGGAAATACCATTACGGCAGTATCCTGGTCGGTGGACTGGAAGGGGTCGTGACGCACAAATTTTGTTGGCCACCCAGAAGTCCAGATCTTAACCCCATGGACTTTTGCTTTTGGGGGTTTATGAAAGAGAAAGTGTATTTATTCTGTAACAATAGAGGACGAACAACAATTGAAGGTTAAAATAATAAAAGCTGCAAATCAATTTCTTCAGAAAGATATGATTTTTCAGCGCATTCGGTTTTCCTTATTAAAATGATACCGAATCTGTATTGAAGGAAATGGGGGTCATTTTGAACATTTATTGTAATATCATGTTTATAGAGGTTATAGACATTCTTTGTACTTGTTAATTCATTCAAGCCATTTATTTAGTTGCATGTAATTTTTTAAAGATCAATGAAAAGGGCTGTAACTCAATAAAAACTGTTTTAAGAAAAAAGTGATAAAAGCAAAAATTTTTAAAAATAATGTGTTAAACTATGATGCCATAAAATTCATTTGATTTGAACGTAATCAAAAGTTTGGGGGATTTAGGGCTGCAAACCCCTTTAAAATTAGTTTAGAAGATAATGCAAAAAACAATTTTTATTTTGTAACTTCAAAGGACTGTAACTTTTTTTTGAACACTTTTGTACAAAGGTAATTTGGATTCACTCAATTCATTTTTGTCCCCGGAATGCGTAATTTAATTTATGACATATCTTTTTGAAACTGTATATATACCCTGTATATTCAAAAATTTTCAAGATTTTGAAAAAACCGTTTGTTGGGCAGACTCGCCTTGCGTTTTTTGAAACAAAATATTACATTTATAAACATATCCAGAAAATTAGCCGTCTAACTTTAAAACGGCCCAGGTTATGAATTTTTCAAATAATAAAATTCTCTTTCAAATTTCAACTATCTGTTTTTTTTTTCTACGATAAATACACCATTAAGATGTAAAAATAGTATATTAAGTTCATATTGAGGTCTTTCAAACAGGCGCGATTTTTAAAACACGTGCCCAAACATTATTGGGAGTGCCATTAATTTAAGTACAACCCCATTGGCTTCCGAGAATGTATAGTATGTAGTATAATATAGGTAGTATTAATTTGAACAGAATTTCATCTGACTTAAACAACGGAAGTATAAATATTTTAAACAATACCAACTGTACTTTTCACATTCGTTTAAAAGATTAAGATTTCCAAATATTTGAATAAAGCTTTTGAAATAGTTTTTAGTAATATTATTTTATTTATTTGACGTTACAAGTTATGTACACCTGTCAGGAAGGATAAATATTTAAAAGTGTTGATGTTGCCACAGTAACACACGCGTTTTTGAAAGTTGAATTTAAAACACGCTACGGCGTACTTTAAATAAGCAAAATGGGGTACCAATAAAAAAAAAATATATATATATATATATATATATATATATATATATATATATATATATATATATTTTTTTTCTTTGCAAAAATCCCATTGACATTGATGTGATTAAATTACTATTTTAAATCAAATTATTATTTTTCACTAGAAAAGAAGAAAAATATGTTTTTTAGATTTTTTTTATGTAATATTTATGAAATTTTGGTGTACTTATTTTGGATATCTATGTTCAATGAACCACTTTTAAACATATAGTAGAGATTATTTGCTGTTAAACTTTAAAGCCCAAAACAGGTTTAATTTTGCTTTACAAACTGAACTATTTATTTTATAATTTTGTAAAGTACAGAAACGTTTTATACTTTTTAAAATAATATATTTTAATTCCTCTTCGCGCATAAAACTAAATTTTCACTGAGATCCATACATATTTCCAGCTGATGTCAACATTATATTTAATGCAATCAATAATAATTTATATAACAAATATCAACTCCTAAAAATATAAACTACCTTTATCTCGGGCTTTTTGATATAACTCGGCAACTTCATCACCAATTGATTGTTCTCTTCTATGAGGTGGACGTAAATTTCCCCAGAAAACTGCTGGTTCGAAATAAGGTACTCCTTTGTTCTTCCAATATTGCAATGCCCATTTAGAATAAAGCCAAGCAAGAGTAACAAGACCAATGATGACGCCTATTACATCATACACCATTACTCCGGTTACAATGGACATTTTGAGAGCTTTTTACCTGAAACAAGGTAATTTATTTATATAAAAAACGTAAAAAAATTATAAGTATAAAAAACTATTGGTCTTTACTGCCGATTGTAATGGATATAATAAGTTATGTTTTAAAATTTCTAATAAGATGGCGCTATTAGCTAATCCACATAATATATAGATTAATTATATATATGATCATCATCATCATCATTCTCAGCGTTGTATTCTACCTATTATGGTACAGCCTTTCTTACATATTCGTTCTTCATTTCTCCCACGATTTTTCTTTATTTCATGGTTCCGTCTTCTTAAATTTGGACGTTTTCTTGGTCTCTTGGTGCCTCTTGGGTACCACAGTGTAATTCTAGTGGACCATCTGCCATATGCAGTATTTTTTATTATTACATCTTGGATATTCACTAGGTCTTTGTACGTAGCTTTTGTTTTTGTCAAGTTCATTTTTGGGCCAACTTCATTGCTAGTTGCATTTAGGTCGCTTATAAGTTCTTGTAGTTCTGCATGAGTATTAGCAATCAAGACGATGTCGTCTACAAATGTTAGATGGCTGAGGTATTCTCTATGAATCGATGGTTCTGCCAGTTCATTTTGATGAACATAGTTTCAGTTGCAGTGAAGAGCTTTGGTGATTTTGCGTCTCCTTGTCGGATGCATCTGGTAGTGGGAAATTATGGAGCATTTTTATGGAGCATTCAACTTCCGTTTTTTAAATATTGTTACTCTATCTTTTAGCAAACTGATGATGGAATGATTCAATTCCGAAAAGATCTTCTTTAAAATAAAAGTTTTAAGCTTTTAATAAGCATTTTTATACCTTGATACACACGAACATCACGTTCTTTGAATTCAACAGGTATACTAGCCACTCCTGGATATCTCCACTTTATGGTTTTGTTCCAGTTTCACTTTTAATTGAGCATTTTCATAAATTTTTACATTAGTTTGCTTGTCTGTATATATTTGCTAAAGTCTCTATGTACGGTTAATGCTAGTGGTATTTTATATTCTTTAGCTCTATTCATTAGTTCTCGAAGCGTATTATTTAATTTCTGTGTGTAATTCTGGTATTTTCAATTGTTAGAGCAACGATTTGCTTCTTCCCAATGAATAATACTTTTCTTATTTTTTTTTGTAGTTTCTTCGGTTTTCGATTGCAGTTTCTACCAGTTATTCATCGTATTTTCTTCCTTAATACTTATCCTTGTTTTATTGTCTTACAAAGTTCTGTGTATTGTAATCTCTGTATGTTGCTACATACTTTCATTTCCCTTCTTTGCTTTAGCAATATTTTGGTTTTATCAGACAGTTGACGTTTGTTTGTTGACGACAGTTTATATTCATTTTATTATTGCGGGCCTTTGATTTCTTTAGCACTATCAAAGATGATTTCCATTAATTAAGAGCTGTAGATTTGTTCTTAAAATCTTTCATTAATTGTCCTTTTGTAGTGATCTGAGTCTTCTCTGAGTCTTAGATTGTTATTATTTATACCGGTTACTGTAGGTTTTGTCTATGGTCGCTGCCTGTCTGAAATGTATTTATCACAGTAACATCTTTTATTGTAGCAATAATCTTTTATTGTTGGTTAGAATGAAGTCAATTTCGTTCTTAGTGGTTTCATTTGGTGCTACCCAAATTCATTTTCTGTTCGATTTTTTCTTAAATAATGTATTTGCAATAGGCATGTTTTAGTAGTGTGCAAACTGAACCCGCGTTTCTTCAGTTTCATTTCTCTCAACGACCCAAAAATTTCCAATGACTTGTTCCTTGCCTTTCCCACTATGGCATTAAAGTCAATAATTGAATACTTGAAGTGACTCTTATTGTTATTTAATGCCTCAATTATATTACTGTAGAGTTCCTCTATGTCTTCGTCAGTGTGAGATTTAATTGTTGGGAGGAATAATAACTCAGTTAAAAATTTCATTAAAAATATATAAATTTGATAACATACTTAATAATGTATAGAAAAATCTTGATTTTATCTATTGATTTAATAAAAATGTTCTTATCTTTGGCCAAAAAAAATTTCTTCAGTAAACAGAAAGCACACATAAGCATTTATAGGTAAACATACTTCAGTTTTTATAAATATATAGAACAAAGTTTAAATTTGTTTTAAATTGAACGAAAATCAATAAATACGATAAAATACCTCGTAGATAATAACCTGATTTATGATATGATTTATCGAATAATTTAATTAAAATTTTATCTTTGGACAAAAATTCTAAAGTAATTACACGCAAGAACAAGAAAATAAGAAGCAGGCAAAATTACGCCACTTAAATCAACAAGTTAATTTCAGTAATTGGAAAAAACAAACATATTACAAGTGCTTGTAAAATAAGATAGACTACTATAAAGAAATATACATAGATTCAAGGACGAAATAACAAGGATTTGAACAGAAACTTAGTTATTTTAAATGAAACAGCCTGTATATTATAGCATTTTAGATTCTCCTTAAAATTTTAGATAATATTTATATAAGGTACCATAGGTTACAACTTCATATTTTTCAAGTTTTTTATCTTTTTCAAAAAATTTGACAGATAGAGACAAACATTTCAAAGTTAATCATCAATTTAAAAACATATATGTTAAAAACTTTTTTACACAAAAAATAGGTAAAATTCTTTCAGGAATTTACATCGAAATCTAATTTCTGAAAGTGTTCACATATGATACGCCATTTCTTTAAACTTCAAACCAAAGTAAGTCAATAATTTTAAATAAAACACCCAGTATTTTATAATTTTAATGAAAAACGAAATCAGTTTTATTTCAAATAGTATTAGGTTTCTCTATACCTAAAGTTATATTTATAGTTACCAGGTGAGGAAATTTTTGAGTAACCAAAGACTCAATCTGCAAATCCGATATCGAATGGTAAAATGTTATATCCATTCTATTCTTCTTTATGATACCGAAGCTTGAACTATTTACGTTGACTTAATAAGAAAGCTGAAAGCTTTTGAGATGTGAACTTTTAGAAGAATTTTAAAAATACCATGGACCGATCATACTACAAACAAAACGGTTTCGCACAGAATGGGAAGAGACAGAGAACTTTTGACCACCAAGGAGAAAGACAGCATATTTCGGACATGTTCTTCGGTGGAAGTACGAGTTGTTGACGCTAATTATGAGAGGTAAAATAATAGGAAATAGTAGACGGCAAATATTCTAGCTGAAAAACATTTGCAACTGGACTTGGAGTTGAACACACAGGCGCTTATAAGAAAAGCAGGACACAGAGACGAATTTGCTATAGTTATAGCCAAGCTTCATTAGTGGAGTCGTCACTAAAAGAAGAAGAAGAATACCTAAGTTAATACCTTTGGAGATAATTGTGGTTTAATGTTAAAGACAAGATATTTATTGTTTTATTCTAGCAGGCCGTGTATAAACATGTCATAAGTGTCACTATTGTTATTGTCACTTTTAAAAAGTGAAAGAAATTTCTCGTTTAAAATTAAACAATGCAGAATGCGCAAATTTACTTTTAATTCATGGAGAATGTAAGAGAGTTATTACTAGAACATGTGCTTTATTTGCTAAAAGATATCCAGATGGACCAGGAACTACCAAAATTTAATACATTTTGGTTGTTTTCAACAAAAAGTTAACAAAGGGGAGCCTATTCTTGATAATACTGATCATACAATGAATATTCATGATTACTGTGTTACTTATCTCGAAGTGTCATTAAGTTGTACAGCGAATTAAAAAAATACAAAAATCCCATCCCTATTCTTATACTACAGTTTAAGGTTCAAAGGAAACAGACTTTATTAAAAGAATAAAATTTGTAACGATAAAATATCAAGAAGATATTATATAGTGTGAAGAATCAAAATTTGCAAAAAAATGGAATGTTTAATAAGCACAATTCGCATTACTGGAGCGAAGTACTTAAATCAACATTTAACAAGAGTACGTAGTTTTCAGAACCAAGAGTATTACCTTAAGGTATATGGAAATACTATTTGGAAGACAATTTATTTTTTTTATTAAAATTATAAAATATAGGGTGTTTTATTTAAAACTGTTAACTTACAGTAGTTTGAAGTTTAAAGAAATGGCATTTGTTAAAACCCTGTGTGGAAAAGTTTTTAAGGCATTATGATTGTATGTGCTATACTATTTGATACAAATTGTATCTAGAATCTTCTACTGCACAGACTCTGAAAATGTAATAATATACAGGGTGTTCTATTTAAAATAACAAAGTTGCCTTTGTTATTTTAAAGTGCAAAGTTTACTTCCGGCATAACCGGTCATAACATGTCAAAATATCTTGTTATAACTTGTAATCCCTATAAACCAATTTTTATAAATATCATGTAGATTATTCCCGATATATGTATTTCCTGTATTACTTTATTTCAAAAATTTTAAAATATTTTCTAGAAATGATAATAAAAAATATTCGATATTTTTGTCCACTAGTGCATATATGTACTATATATACAATGTTAACCTTTTTCTCCTTAGATATAAACAGATGTTTCTCTATAATATATTATGTACTACATCTGCATAAATATAAATACGCACCACCAAGGGGATGCACTATTTTTAAATAAAGTTAATTTTGTTATACCGGATACACTTATACATAAATAGCTCATGGCTATCAAGAAAGCAGATATTTTAAGAATCCTCAAGTAATAGTATATTGTTCTATATACTTAAAGTAATAGTATACTTTTTGTGGCGAGGCTGTACTGCAATTTACGAAGCTTTTGAGTTTTTGACTTTTACACTTGTTCCTAGGCGTAAAAGTGCTTAACTTTTATATCTAGGCGTAAAAGTATGCTTTTTATATTGTCAATCACGTCAAAAAATTAATCATTTTGTGACTTTGAGGTTATTAGTAAAATATAAAATCATACTGGTGGACTGGGAAGATAGAAAAACAAATAAATAGAATATATGGTCAGCAACAGGAGAGAGAATGCTGATTCTCTCTGAAATATATCCACTATGAAAAAATATATC